TTTTTGCGTATGTTCCTCTCTTCACTAACATTCCTTGTAACGGGATGCAAGTGCCGTTAGCTTGGTCTGTCTTAGATTTTTTGGTAGTACTTGCTGTGTCCGTCCGTTTGGTACAGTCGTCGTCTGTTTCTGACTCAGCTATTGGAAGACCCCCCTTTGTAGTTTTATTCATCTGTCTTTTCCTTGCAGCTTGTTTTCTGTTTCTACCTACCTCAAACCAGTCTGACGCTGGATTGGTGTCCAGCTCCTGGTTTGGCTCCCCCTTCTCTGACGCCGAGGCGTCGCTGTCCATTTTGGCTGCCGCCAATCACAAAGAACTGTAGCACTCACCTTCGTAAGAACGTCTGGATCAAGCACTAGCACAAGTTTCTTTTTTATTTTATTTATTTTTTTTTTCCGATTTTTGGTTTTTTTTTTTCTAGGAGTTTAATACCTAGTCTTTACAATAGAACATCCAACTTTTACACTTAACAATTGACACACACTTCACACTCACAATAGGCACAAGAAATACTTAGACAAATACAACCTCCACCTTCTGTAGTACAAATGCGAATGCGTTGCTGCCATCTTGCACAGTAGCAAAATCGGAAAGAAATGTATGTGTGGAAAAAACAAAAACATATGCGGAAAGTGTAGACGAAAACAAAAAGTGCTAAAAAGGAAATCAAAGTGAACAGCAAAAGAACAAGATCACCGGAAATTTTAAATAGGCATCAACAGTGCTGCCAAATTGACTAACAGCTAATGTTGCGCGGTGGTTATTTGTGAAAATTTTAAAATTTCTACTTATGGATGTGTATGCATGAATGTTCGTTATTCACTAAAGGCAAATTATGATCTGTATGAATTTTAATACGAACTTATTTTTGTGCTACAATAAAGTACAGTGCTTATAAATTTTATATTTGTACTCGTATGTACATATGTAAATGAGTGTGTGCAGTTACTCACACATAATACTTCCGGTTAAATTAAGGAACAATTGATAAAAGTTCCAATTTCGTCCATATGTACATATCTATGTACATACATTTGTGCAAAAGCAAAATGTGTGAGCTCAAGTGCTATTGTACTTCAAAGGCATTCAACTTATGTCCAGTCCAGCTACATTCTTTTATTATTTCCATACAATCTGTGCCCACCTCATCAGATTCATGGATGAGAGTACATATATACATATATGTACAAACATTCATTTGTATCTACGCATGTGCATGTAACAATTCACTTGAAATTCAATTTCTGTAAGAAGCCAAATTATGGATGGATCCACGACTTAGCACATTTGATGTTTATCTTTTCAGTGAGAGTCAGCGAGTAAAGCTCGTTGTGAATAAATCTGCCGCGCGAATTCGTTTTATTTGCTCCGAGAAATCTATGTTAAATTTCCTAGATGACTACTTTGTTGCTACTATTACTGCAAATCTTCTTCTTAGTTAGTGTGCCTGCAGCGCGTAACGTAACACGTCGTAATGTTGTGCTTGTAATTTTTGATGACCTACGACCTGTGCTTGGCGCTTATGGAGATCATTTGGCATATACGCCATATTTGGACGCGTTCATCCAGGAGAGTTACTACTTTACGCGTGCTTATAGCCAGGTAGGTGTAAACATACATACATATATTTTGATAGATAGAGCACTTACAATTCGCTTTCCAGCAATCTCTATGTGCGCCTAGTCGTAACTCAATGCTCACCGGCCGTCGTCCGGATACGTTGCACCTTTATGACTTTTACAACTATTGGCGCGATTTTGCCGGGAATTTTACCACACTTCCACAATACTTCAAAGCTCACAACTATTACACTTATGGCGTTGGAAAAGTTTTCCATCCGGGCATTTCATCAAACAGTTCAGACGATTATCCCTACAGTTGGTCATTGCCGACATTCCGACCACCGAGTGAGAAATACATGAATTCACCGGTATGCCCGGATGCCGGCGGTGTTTTACGTAAAAATCTTATCTGTCCCGTACATTTACAAACTCAGCCACTGAAAACGCTGCCTGACATCGAGTCTACCGCAGAGGCTATACGCTTTATCACCACTTACCAGCGTCGTAGACCCTATTTTTTGGCGCTTGGTTTTCACAAGCCGCACATTAACTTTCGTTTTCCGCAACAGTTTCTGGAACGATTTCATCTCAAGGATTTCAATAACTATACCACAGATACTCATAAGCCTGAGGATATGCCGAATGTGGCTTGGAATCCATATATAGATGTGCGTTCACGCGACGACTTTAAACATCGGAATATTTCCTTCCCCTATGGACCGATTTCGGCGTTGCAACGTTCGCAGATACGTCAAGCATATTACGCGTCAGTTGCATACGTTGACGATTTGTTTGGAAAATTTATGGCGCATGTGAATAGACGCAACACTATTGTGCTGGTGACCAGCGATCATGGCTGGTCATTGGGCGAACATGCTGAATGGGCTAAGTATAGTAATTTTGAGGTGGCGTTGCGCGTGCCACTCATTATACGGAGCCCGGAATTTCCGTTGACAACATTTCAACGCATGCATACAATCGCCGAACTGGTGGACATTTATCCAACTTTAGTGGACTTAGCACATTTACCCCCGCTACCGCTTTGCAACGCGTCAGCGCCTGCATATGAACAATTGACGTGCAGAGAAGGTAAAAGTCTATATCCACTGTTACAGGGTGTCGGCTTGGGCGAAGAACATGTGGCTTTCAGTCAGTATCCACGCCCGGGCATAGAACCAACAAAGCATCCCAATAGTGATAAGCCAAAACTGTTGAATATCAAAGTGATGGGATATTCAATGCGCACAACCATATTCCGTTATACGCTTTGGGTGCGTTTTCATGCACAGAATTTTAGTAGAGGTGAGCGTTTTAGATTAACATACATATGTACACACTTTAGGGTGGTTCAAAAAAAGGGTAAAGTCGGAATTTTAATGCTCTCACACCCACGAGTTTTTGGACCACCATAATGTATGTACATACATTTTGGCTTCTAATATGGATTTGCTTTTTATGCTTCCTCATTTCAGATTGGAATGATGTTTTTGGCGAAGAGCTGTATGACCATCGCTTAGATATGGGCGAGGGTATAAATTTGGCGAACATACCTGAGTTCGATGAGGCGCGTATGCGTTTGAAACAGCAGTTGATAACAGCATTTTCAAAGTAATGTGGGTGTACCACCTTTAATAATGTTTGTTTAAAAGAAATCTGTGTTAGTTGCCCGAAAACAAGACGATAAATAAATACTGAAAACATCCTCCCACAAGAGGATCTTTGCCGCCGACATCATAAACTCTCTTGTGCAATATCCTGATACAAATGATTTCCTAGAAAGAAATTGATTAAAAATACGGAACAGATATGTAAATCATAAGGGTTATAAAAATAATATATCTAACTAGCTTTTGCCAAATCAATCTGTTCTACCGAATACTATAGAATTATGCTGATCACTTTGATCCTCTTACTCAGATCGTTATCTTAATCGCGCTAGTCTCGATATTTGCCTTTCATGGGGATTCTGGTATACAAATCATATCTTATCTTAGGTATTTAGATGGTCTGTATAACTATCTAATTGACTAAGTAATTTTTTACTTTCGAAATAGTTATCAATCCCTTTTTTGGCGAACAACTTTTTTTATCTTCTTTCCTTAGACTAGAATCTTAAACTGCTGCAACCTCTTCATTTTTTTTAATAAAGCTTTAAAACTATTTTAAAAATAAATATATTATTATTAGAAATATTGTTAATTAAACTGATTTTGCATTTCCAAAACAGGTGGCAACACTCTTCGAAAATGTAAGTTTCTCAGACCTCTCGCCGGTTTGATTTGCATATGAAACATTTAATTAATTTAACTTGTTGATTAAATTGATTTTGAACTAGGTGGCAACCGTCTTTAAAATCTTTTTCGAAATAAAAATTTCTTAAACATTTCTGGTTTGATACCCAGATATAAATATTTAATTTCACTTGTTGATTAAATTGATTTCCGGTTTTTTGAACAGGTGGCAATCCTCTTCAAAATTATTTCGAAATAAATAGTTTTAGAAAGAACCCTTTTCGTTTGACACCCACAATGTTGTAATACTTTTTTAACCTATAAAAAATTTGATTTCAACGTTTGAAAAAGGTAGCAACAGTCTTAAAAAAATATCCTATATGTTAATCCAGGCCCATAATCTATCTGCATGAAAAACTTCGAGCGCTTTGAGCGACCTCTAAATATTTTTTGATATCAAAATAAAAAAATAAAACTGGGGTATAATTTTCTCGGTATAGTACAATCCTTTTCCCCACATGCATTTTTGGACCACCCTAATGCACATATGTGTGTATGTCTAGTTTGACAAAGAACATTGGACTATACTTAACTTGTTTCACCTGCCATTTTAAACCCATTCACCTTACACCTTTATCCCTTCGATCTTAACCTATAAATATTCGGACTCATTTTACAGTCAGAAAAGTCTCAGAATTCTGAGTTGTAGCCCTCATTATTTATGAGCTCAAAAAAGGGTCAAAAAAGAACATGTTTCCCTTCTTAGAAGAGCACCCCAATGTAAATCCAAGTTAGAAGTCATATTAGAGTCTGAAATATGTCACTTTCTGAGTCTTAAAAAACAAATATTCTTTACAATTATGATTATTAATAAACCTTTACGTCTATGTTGCTTTTATTCAACTCAGAATTTATGACACCAAAACAATCCGAAATGAGTCAGTCTGGTTGACTGGTCTCAGAATCATATTTATGACGAAAGAAAGACTCATTTTAGACTCATAAATTCTAAGCACTCAGGGGTGTTCCAATACCCGAAGACTAGTTGTGTGTTATCAGGAGGTATTTTGTCTTTTCCGCGTTCACTGCTAGATCAGCCTTTTTTGCTTCTCTTTCTAAGCTGAAAAATACCGCGCTTACGAGCCTGGTGTTGAGACTGATTCAGATTGTCAGCACGTATTTCGCTAACCAACAACAGATTGAAGAAGATTCAAGGTCTATTAATTTTAAATTGTATTGCTTTAAAAAGGAATATAATTTATTTAAATTTAATCTTTTAGCTTTTTAATTTAATTTTCCTGTACTTTTTTGATTATATTATTTTAACACGAAACATACTATTTATTAAATTTCAAGTAACTTTTAAAAACTTATTTTATTCCTTTTTTAATTTACTTTTTGCTTTTTTTTTAATTTAAATATATTTTAATTTTTAGATCTTATTGTGTTTAAAAGAAAAATATTTCTTTGATAAAATTTTTAGAAACTCGTTATTTTTTTCAATTTAAGCTTTTATCTTTTTTGTTTAATTTGATTGAAATTTTTAGATTTCATTGCTTAAAAAAGGAAAATAATTTTTTTTTAATTATTTTTTTTTGTATTTTGTTATTTAACTTTTCTTTTACTTTTAAGACTTTATTGTTTTAATAAGAAACATATATTTTGTAACTTTAATTAATTTTTAGAAACTTATTTTATTTATTTTTTAGTTTTTATAATTCACTTTTACTCTTCTTTTTTTAAATGATTTTTTATTTGATTTTCAGTTTTTATCGTTTTAAAAAGAAAAATATTATTCGATTTTGCTGTTATGATTTAAGCTTTTGTTATTTTTAATTTAATTTTCTTTTAATTTTTAGATTTTAATGCCTTGAAAAGGAAAATAATTTTTATGAAGTTAAGTTTTTCTCTTTGTTTTAATAATGATATACACAATAATGAGAAAATAAAAAAAGCAATAAAATGTAGAAATTAAAAGGAAATCAAATTAATAATAATAATAGATTGGCGCTTACAAATATGTTAGTGTTTGGCCGAGCTTCTCCTTCGATTTGTGGCGCGCGCTTTGCTGTTGCCACACAATGGGGAGGGACCTACAGTTTCACGCCGAATCCAAACCGCGATTGTATTTTTATGAGAAGCTGTTTTTTCATGACAGAAATACGCTCAGAGGTTTGCCATTGCCTGCCGAGGGGCGACCGCTATTTTTAACTTTTAATTTTCTTTAAATTAAAAAAAAACTTCCTTTAATTTTATTTAATTTTTAGGCACTAATTTTATTTAATTAAATAATTTTAATTGAGCTTGAGGCTGTTTATATGGTAGAAGTTATAGCTTCTATTTCAGAGATCACCACATCTCCTCATCAGACTTCTTCACTGGGATTCGATACCGCGACCCCCGCAAGAGTTGCAGAATTTTGTATTCGAATTTCTCAACATGAGGATGCCTTATGTAGGCTTCCTTATACTATATGGTAAGAACTGACTTCAAAAGGTTCGATTCAGCATTAGCTTTTCAGATATAATGCAGAGCATCCATACACGAAACTGCATAAGTATTTACATAGCTGTGTACGTGTACTTTCCGAGCTTGTATGGTACCTACGTAATAATTTAAGTGAAACCGGTTTACAAGAGACTTGCCCACTCAATGGTAAAATCCGAAAAATCTACCAACCAACCAACGCTTCAAGGAAAACAAATCCGCAATTGTAAGCTTTGGCAGGCACAATACCAACAACAACAACAACCGCCACAGCAACAAAAACAAACGACTAACAATATCAATGGAATAGCATAGAGCGCAGTGCAGTGCAGTTTGAGCTGGAGCTGTGTGTGTGTGTTTTCAGCCTCTTTAAGGAAGACGACCACTTGAAGCGGAAATGGAACGTGTACAATTGGATTTGCGCGGCGATGACGATGAAAGCTGCTGCAGCAACGGAGATGACGACTCTCTTGCACTTCAATGACAACAGCAATGGCATCTGCAACAATGACAAAAACACATTGAATAAGAAGAGAATTTATATGTGGTATGTATGTATGTATGTACATTAGGCTGGTCCAAAATAAGTAAAGTCGGAATATTAAAGCTCTCACCCCCTAGGATTATTCCATGTCGAAAAAATATACCCCTATTTTTTATTTTGAAATTAAAGAAGATTTAGAAGTTGCTCAAAGTGCTCAAAGTTTTCCATATATTTTATATGGGAAAAAAAAACTTTTCGCAGAAATGGGATAGAATCTTTCAAAATCAATATTTTTCGATCAGAAAACTCTGGTTCTCTTCAGGACACTTCCAATAACAAAACCCAATTGTCCAATTGTTTCTTTACAAATTTTTTAATACTCAAGATTTTTTATTTATCCCCCCATTGCGTTTTCCGGGGGTTTTGACGGACCTGTAAAATATAGTTACTATAATAAATTGTGAAATAAATAATTGGGTATTATTATTGGGGGTCTCCTGAAGAGAAACAGAGTTTTCCGACCGAAAAATATTTATTCTGAAGAACTCTATACCATTTCTACGAAAAGTTGTTTTCTCCCCATATAAAATACAAGGAAAACTTTGAGCGCTTTGAGCGACCTCTAGAATTTTTTTTCCAAATGAATTTTTTCGGTACAGAACAATTTTAGGGGGGGGGGGGGGCATACAAATTTTGACTTTACTTTTTCACATGCATTTTTGGACCACCCTAATGTACATACATATGTATCTCTGCATGCATGTTAGTATGCACATTGTATGTTGCAAAAGAATGACTTTCAACATGACAGACAAAAATTGGTTAGGCTACTGGTGGCTACATATGTATGTACATATGTACATAAGTATGTATGTATTTACTTTACGCCCTTTTTCAGTGACACACAGTACAAAGAATTGAACTCATATGTTTGTGTTTATGTATGTATGTATGCACTCGGTGCAATCTACGTATGTATATAGCTGGGTGTTTGTGTTAAAGGTGAGCAAAATTAGTCAAAGAGTTAACTTCCGTTACGCGTTAAAGTCACTTTACAGTAAACGCCGGTCGGTCGGTAGCTTATCTGACTGAAGTGGCAAGTGCGCCAAGTCAATGCACTTAAGCATGGGTTGTGCTTTGAGTCGTCAGCTAATTTTTCAATAGCTACTATATAGTTACTTAAAATATTTATTTTCATAGCTTCAGCGAAGTTGGCTGGGGTCTTATGATCTCGGCTTTCTAATATGTAGTATATATGTATCGCACGTTTAATATTATCCCAGCCAGCAAGAAAACGTACATTTTACGAACATTATGTTTTACGAGGGATTCTCGTATCGCCAAAAAGTTAGAGAAAAGCTCGTAAACGATAAAACAAAAAAATATAATAGAAAGAGGCTTGTAGTAATTTGTCAGCACAAGAAAATTAGTTTTGTTGACAATTTTTCTTCAATCACAACATTTTATAAGTAAGTAGTTTGTTAAATATTCAATTTAAGTAAATTATTAAGTATGTAATTTACTGGCAGACTGGTG